ATATGTTTTCATCAAATCTGATGGCTTTAAGTATATGCTGATAACTTCCAGATTTATATCTCCACCTCTGATCTCCCTTGAGACATAGCCATTGTCCATTTGAACCTCACATATCTAATAGAGATCTCAAAATTATAGCATCAATAACAGTATTAATAATATTCACCAATGGGGCGCCTGGGTGGCTTAGTTGGTTGAGTGTCCGACTTTCGCTTAGGTCATGATCTCGCGGTTCGTGGGTTCGAGCCCCGGGTCGAGCTCTGTGCTGACTGCCAGCTCAGAGCCTGGAGCCTGTTTCGGAGTCTGTGTCTCCCTCTCTCTCTGACACTCCCCTGCTCATGCTGTCTCTCTCTCTCTCCTAGAAATAAAGTATATTAAAAAAATAATATTCACCATTACTCCACTCCAACAAACAGGACCCTATGAGGTCTCCCCATATCAAAAACTACAGTGCCATCAAATAAGTTACTCAAATAAAAAAACTAAGAATCCCTCCCTTTCTCTTATGCTCCACAACCAAGGTATGACAAGTCCTAACAGTTCTGTATTCAAAATATATAGGACACATTCATTTCTCTCCACCTCTATCATCACACCCAAGTCCAAGCCATTACCAACCTTTTGCCAGAACTAAATCTGTAGGCCCATATCATACCACTCTTCTTTACTCTTACCCACCTCCGGTCCACCTTTCAACATCAGTGTGATTTTGAGAAAGTGTACATCTCATCATGATACTCAGTAGCTTTAAATCCTTAAATGCCAACTTTTAGAATCAATTACGGTGCTTATTATGGCTAACAAGCTCTTTCAGCATGGCCTTGCCCCTGCCTGCCTTTATCTTTACTCTCGACCCATCTCTCCTCTTGCTCATTATGCTCCCATCTCTCCTCTTGCTCATTATGCTCTGAACATGCTGGTCTCCTTTAGGTTTGTAGAACACTTCACACAATTTCTCACCCCAACGCCCTTCAATAACTTGCTAGTCCCGTTTCCAGGAATGCTCTTCCATAGACTCTGCACATATGTGGATCCTCCTCATCTTTGAGATTCCATTTCAAATATCAATCCGCAGAGAACCTTTTCCCTGATCAGACTTTCTAAAGAAACTCTTGCCCAGTTAGTGTCTGTTCTATCTTCCTATTTCTTTTCCTTCTAGTATTTACAACAACCTGAAATTATCCAGTTTATATATAGACTTGTATATTCTTGGTCTTCTTCTCCAGTCTCCACTAGAATGTAAGCTCCTTAACAGCAGGAATAACGTCTGTCCTTCACCACTGTGTCTTCAGTGTTCAATACTTTACCTGAAACAGAATTAACTTCTAGATATACGTTTAATGGAGGGGGAGATGAATAGAAAAATAGGCCCTAGAAACCATCTTCCTCAAATCTTGGTATGCTGAGTATTCTGTTAGCACACAGTTTCCAGGAGTCTTTTTGAGAGAGAATTCCTTTTCCTAAAAACAGAGAGATGCCCTCAGTGTCTTGCAGCAGTGGACACACTTTACATTGTCTTCATCATAAAGTCCAAATTCCTTCCAACCTGTCTGTACAACTTTATCTTCCACCACTTCCTTCCCCTATAGTAAGTTCACAGCACACTCAGCTTTATACTATTACATGCAAATACCACTCATGTTTATGTCATCTCTCTTTGGAATGCCTTTCTTTCTCCTCCCACTAAACATCCTTCCAGAGTCCCTCTCTGAAGCTTTTCCTGGTAACCACAGAGGCTATTACTCTGTAGTTTCACAGGCCTTCATACATACCTCTACCACATTTATTCTAACATATGACAATCCTAGGACTACTTTTCCCCATTTTACTCTTAATACTTTGAGTAAAAGGATTATGTCTTCTACTTCTCCCACTAGTGCCTAGCATGGTGCCTCATAGGGAAATATACAGAAAAAATGTTGACTACCATAAATACATATATAGTTGAGAATTTTTCATTATTGTGCTGCTCAGTGGAGTGAAAGGCACTGGAACATTTTAACAACTGTTATTCTGTCAGCTGTCTGACCGTCATTAATGAACCAGCGGGACAGGTGATATTTAATTTGTAAAAAGGAAAACTACTTCTACTAGTTATGGCTTGGTTAATAAACCATATTTGAAAATGTTGTGTCCAAAATAGGCACACCAATATACATACCCAACCTCTTCATGCCCATTTTTCAATTTTTAAAGAAATGAATTAAATTTGCAGGGCATAAAAGAAATGAGAGGTAACTAGCATTACTAGGATATTCTGTGGCTTAGCTTTTTTTTAACTTAGCACAGGCATAGATAGCACTTCTTGGAACTATGTCACGTATAGCTAATGTTTACTTTTATGGTAACACTACATTAAACCCCATTGACCAAAAAGCAAGGCATAGCTTGTGTGGCTGCTGGCCAAAGGGCTGGTGGATCAGCACCATGGACAGTGGAATGCACTTAGGAGGTCACTCTAAGTCTGCTTGTAGGACAGCTGTGATATCATATAGACTGGTGTGAATGTTTCTCTGGGGATCATTCAAAGACAGTGGCTTATTGTTAAAACTGAAGGGTGAGAACGTGAGAATTCATTCTACTTTTTTATCTTTGAAATTTTCCATTAAAAATATTCATGTGTGGTACTGAGAGGCTACCAAAAAAAAAAAAAATACTCCTAAAGATCTTAGGATCCTACATGTAAGAGACATGAACAATAAGCCCCAGTACCCTCTGCTCCAAGAGGAGCTTTGAGGAGGTTAGGCTGTAACTCTCCCACGCACATGAGATTTTATCTCGTGAAAGTCCGTGTGACGGAATAGGAAGTTGAGACGTCTACAGATGATCACTTTCTTGAGAAGCAAGATGCTTCAGGAGAGCAGTTTCTAAGAAATGAAACCTTTCATGCACTGCCTTCTAAGAAATGAAACCTTTCAAGCAGCTGAGGGTGGCCGCCTAGGGTTGCAGGGACTGAGGCTGAGTGTAGGAGGCGGTTGTGAGGGTGAGGCCAAGGTAAACACACAAAAGTTCTGGTTGGGCCCAAGGTCAATACACTGAAGTCCTGAGTCAAAACAGAAACAAAATCACTGTTTAAATATTAAATGGGCTAGATAAGTAGAGGGAACCAAGATACAAGGCCAAGCACATTAGGATGGAGAGAAGCTAAAACATGAAGAGGGTGGAGAGGTACAAAAGGAAGACATGCCTAAATATTTGGGGGGTGTGCCATTAGGGATTTTTCATGCAGAAGCCATGCCAGAAGCAACATAAGGAGCCAAGAGAGAGGCTGGTGGATAAAATTAGAGAATGAATGTAAGCACACATACGGGGAAGAACCACTCAGAGATTACGGACGGCAGATAAGGCTGAGTGCCTGACACATAGTGGGTTGCAGTTACTATTGTACCTTAGTCCGTGGATTATGGGATTAACACTTTACTCGCCAACTGTGATGACGTCTGGCACAAAATAGATGCTCAAAAATTACTAAAGAGAAAGAAATAAAAGCAAACTGTGCAAAGACAACCCCTTTGCACACACTGGGTGCTCTCTGACCTTCCCGGTGAGGTAGATGCTACTCCTAGCTTTTGCGCTGCTGGGATGTGTAGGTCGAATTTTAACTAGATTTCCGCTGAAAAAGAAAAGTCACTAAGCTTTCTTTTCTAACAGGCTACCGACCCGTAGAACAGGGATTTTTGTTTTGCCCGCTGATGTATGCCAACACGGCCCGGCACCTCATCAACAGAAGGATGGATGGGCGGGCGGGCAGGCATCCCAAGTTGGGAGACGTCAACAGCTCCTTCTAGCAGCACAGTGGCGGGTGGGGAGGGGGAGCGGGGACTGTGGGCCAGCCCCACAACTCCCCCCCCCGCTCACGTTCAGCCACACCAGTCTTTGCCAGAGTAGGACCCCCCAGACGACAGGGCGTCCTCGCGCCACCCCTAGGGCCCTGCCCTGGATGGGGCCGCTCAGATGCTCCCGCATGGCGGGACCGAACGAGCGCTCCCGCGACACTCTTGGGGGCCTGGACGGGTCCGCCCAGACGCTCCCGCGGGAGGGGCCGGCGCCCAAGGCCCTGCGCGAGGGCAGCAGTCCCGCGACAGTCGTCGCCTGCAGAGGACGCCCCTGACGCTCCCAATCCCTCTACGACAGACCCCTCCGCCAGGCAAAGGAGTCCCTGGATCTCTCCCTTTTCCGCCACAGAAAGACCTTTGCGCCGCCTCCCCAATAGTGCTCCTTCACCTCAGAGACGGCTCCCTGCCTCCCAGACTCCACGGCTGAGGGACACCCCCTTTTCCACGAAGTTCCTCCGTCTCCCGCAAAATGTCTGCTCGGCCCCCGACTGTGTCCCTCCGCCCCGGGCAGTTTCTCGGCGCGCCCCTCCTCATTCCTGAAGTCCCTCGGCGGCGAGTCGCTACGCCGTGCGCTCTCGCGAGAGTCCACCACGCAGCCCTCTCCCCCCAGCCCCTCGCCCGCGAGGTAGCCTCCCAGGACCCCGCGGCGCGCGGTCGCGGGCGGCGCATGCGTGGCCGCGGCTCCCAGCGCCCCCCGCGCAGTCCGCGGGCTGAGCGGAGCAGGCCGTGCGCGCCGGGCGGACAGCCGCCCCCCGGGAAGAGGCCTCGCTGTGTCCTCGCGGCTTCTCTCCCCCCCCCCGGGGCGGAACCACCTCGCGGCCTTTCCTCGGTGTGCGGAGGTTTCCTGAGGTCGCCCCAGACCACTTTGGGCCCGGAAGAGCCGGGGCTGGCCTCGGACGCCGCTAGCCCCACCGGCCACCCGCCGCGGCCTGGGAGCGCCGCCCGGCTGAGCCTCGAAGCCCGAAGCCCGAACCCCGATCCCTGGGCCGGGCGGGGCCTGCGCATCCGGCCCCACCCACCCGGGGCTCGCCTCCCTAGAGCCCAGCCCCCTCCCGGTCCCGCCGGCTGCCCCCGCCCACCCTTGCTTCAGTTCCCCAGATTTTCTCCCAGTCCCCTGCCCTCGGTCTTGGACACTGCACTAAAGAGATGCACCCCGGAAAATCCCATCTTTGGTGGAGAGGCCGGATCTGGGACCTTAGGGTACACATTCACCATTTCAAGCGCTTAGGATAGATTTGATTCATGAGCCCGGGGTCCTCTGTTTTTGCTGACACTACCGTTTTTCACTTCCCTACCCTCCCACACTTCCAAAATCATTAAGCAGGGAGCGCTCCGAGGTTTGGGTTCTTTGCGTCCACTTTGAGCTGGGTGAGGTTGACCCCTGGGTTAGAGCATGGCTGCATCCCTGGACCCTCAGCTGGACGCATCCCTGGAGGTTGAGGGATGCTTAATAATGAAGGTGGAGAAGGACCCCGAGTGGGCATCGGAGCCCACTCTGGAAGGATCGGAGAGCTCTGAGTCTGAGACCTTCCGCAAATGCTTCAGGCAATTCTGTTACGAGGACGTGACTGGACCCCACGAAGCTTTCAGTAAACTCTGGGAACTTTGCTGCCGGTGGCTGAAGCCCGAGATGCGTTCCAAGGAGCAGATCCTTGAGCTGCTGGTGATTGAACAGTTTCTCACCATTTTGCCGGAGAAGATTCAGGCATGGGCTCAGAAGCAGTGTCCGGAAAGCGGAGAGGAGGCGGTGGCCCTGGTAATACATTTGGAGAAAGAGACTGGAAGACTGAGACAGCAGGTGAGAGGATTTTCCAAACTGTCTTATTTAGAGCGAAGGGAATGGCTAAGGCGTGGGGGCAGGGCGGCGCTGCAGATAGTGCTTCTTATGGAGGGATAAGTGGTACTGAGAGACTTTTAAAGAGAATGAATTTGAAAGAGGATCAGAATTTCATATTAAGTAGAAAAAAAAACTTGGTTGAAATATTATTTTGTAAATGAAGTTCAACATTATACACCTAAGTATTTGTATAAATCTTTGGCGTAATGTTTCCCAAAAAATTATATACGGAGACACTACGTTATGCTTTGCAGGGTTGGACTTTTGTAGTTTGATCCTAAAGAGGGCTATTTTTTTTCTTTTCTTTTCTTAAATATTTTTATTTATTTCTAGGAGAGAGAGAGAGACAGCGTGAGCAGGGGAGGGTCAGAGAGAGAGGGAGATACAGACTCTGAAATAGGCTCCAGGCTCCGAGCTGGCAGTCAGCACAGAGCCTGATGCGGGGCTGGAACCCACGAACCGCGAGATCATGACCTAAGCGAAAGTCTGACGCTTAACCGACTAAGCCACCCAGGCGCCCCTAAAGAGGGCTATTTTTGCAACAACAACAAAAAAAAAAAAAAAAAAGAAAAAAAAAAAAAAAAAAGAAAAGAAAAGAAAGAAAGAAAAGGGTTAGAAAGGACGGACTTCATCGGTTATCCCAGGGCCCTCTCTAGTCCTTTGATATTCCAATGTGTGTCTCCCAAAGTGCCCTCGATGCCACCATCCTTGTCTAACATAACTGCCAGATCTTTGTTTGTCAATGGCATTTCATGGTCTTCTAGTCGTTTTCAAGAGCCCTTTCATTAACCTCGTGAGATCCTGCAAGATTTGCAAGACTTGCAGTTTCACCTTGCACGGGATTTGCATTCGGATAAAGACCTGACTATCAGCAGGCTGCTGTGTCGGTCAGGGAGAGACACTACATGTGGAAATTAATTTTCCCTTTCCAGTTCACTAGCGAATTTATTTCTGTTCTGATAGCTTTTGCTTCTCTGCGAAGCTAATAGGTGTGAGGACTCCATGTCTGTTCTGATAACAAGGAGGCTCAGTGTTTTACTCCTGCTAGATTTCCGCCCTCTGTACGCTAATAAAGAGCACTCTCCTGACCCCTTACGCCTAGGCTTCTGGACAGTAATCTTCACCTGATGCCCTGGGAGGCTCTGTTGGGAATGGAGTGAAGTTTTCGTTCCTTCTCGCATCTCCTTCTTTGATGTCTTTCTGGGGGGAATTTGGCCCTTGTTGGGCCATGTTTTCCTCTCTCTTTCCATGATGGCATTGGCTTTATTTCCCAGGCTAGCAGTCCTGTGCACTCAGAGAAGCAGGTCCCACTGGGAGCAGCATGGGAGGTAACGGACTTTCAGCCTGAGCGGGTGGAGACCCAACCCAGAGTCATATCCCTGGAGGAAGTTGGAGGCCTCCGTTCAGGACGGGAGGAGCAGCTGACCCGAAAGACGGAGCACCGGCCCTTCCCCAAGAACGGTGAGAAGGACTCAGAGCATGCCCAGAGCAGGGACCGTGGCAGATTTATTTGGAACCCTAACACTGTGACTTGCTCAGAGTAGGTTCCCCTCAATACGTATTTGAGAAAAAATTGAATATTTGGGGAGCAAGACTTTATCAGCTTCAAGAGTTGGGAACCTGTGCAGCATAAGCAAAAGCCATCCTGGGGATGGATTCTGGGAACACTTGGCCTGCCCAAGAATCTGCCTTAAGAATCTCCTTTCTGTAATCAGCTTGTGTTTTTCAGTCCTGCTGTGTATACATGTGTATATGTTATTGGCTGACTATAAACAACTTTAAAAACTGTTTGGAAAGCGAAACAAGATATTTACTTTTAAAAAATTACAAATGAGGCATCCGGAAGTGGCATATGAGAGACATTAACAGTAAGATTTCATAGGCAGGGGAACACTGGTTTCATAGCCGCTCTGGACATTAATAAGTCAGGTAGAAGGAAATTAAACACCCTGCCTTTCCCATCTGCTGTGATGTCACCATCCGTGCAGTCTGGTGGCAGGCGGAAAGAGAGGGATGGAAAGATCACTGAGCCTATGGGAGGAAGCTTGGGTTTATATCTTCTTGTCTCTGCACCTTTCTCTATCTGACCTTGGGCAGGTAATACGGAAAGGCGCATTAATGCATAGAGGTTAAGTGATTAGGCTTTAGAGGCAGACAGCCTGGACTCAAAACCTAGCTCTGCCGTTCTTTATCTGTGTGGCCCTGGTCAGGTTACGTAGCTTCTCAAACTTTCCATTCTGTCATTTGTAAAGGGAAAATAATAGGTGGTTAGGGTAAGTTCAAGGAGACCATGTAAATGGACCAGTACACAGTGGTACTCAGTAAATGTTAGTTTCCTTTCTCCTGTAACAGCACAATTATTTCTAAACTTCAAGTCTGACTTACTTACACAGCCCCTCACCAAGTGGTGAGATTCCCCACTGTGCACCCAACCTCCTTACCTTTCCTGAAATTCACACTGTGATAGAATCCATTGCAAATATTAATATTTTCTGAATTTCAGAGTTCACATGGATTACATGCTCTAAGTTAGTACTGTAGCTGATAAGCTCAGTCTGGTAAATTTATGGTGTTTCTGGATGTTGACATCGCAGGGTGATACTTCACCAAGTGGAAAAGAATGTTCTGTTGAGGTGCTTACCGGGATGGTGACACTGTGGTCCTGTCACCCCCCCTGCTCAGGTGTACACTGCCTCTGTAACAGCTCCCTGCAGGGGCTCCTGGGTGGCTCAGTTGGTCAGGAGTTGGACTCTTTTTTTTTTTTTTTAATTTTTTTAAATGTTGTGTTTATTTCTGAGAGAGGGATAGAGACAGTGTGAGCAGGGGAGGGTCAGAGAGAAAGGGAGATACAGAATCTGAAACAGGCTCCAGGCTCTGAGCTGTTAGCACAGAGCCCGACGCAGGGCTTGAACCCACGAACCGTGAGATCACGACCTGAGCCAAAGTCAGATGCTTAACCGACTGAGCCGCCCAGGTGCCCCAGGAGTTGGACTCTTGATTTCCGCTCAGGTCGGGCTCTGAGTTGACAGTGCAGAGCCTGCATGGAAGTCTCGGTCTCCCTCTCTCTCTGACCCTCCGCTGCTCTCTCTAAATAAACAAACAAAATTTTTAAATAGCTCCCTGCAAAACAAACACTAAGCAGTATCTTTGCTTTTCCCCCTTTTGTGGTAAAAGTGCAAATCTTTTTTTGGATTGCTTTCGGTTAGCACAAATAGGTACTAATGTGTGTCTTTTGCAAAAGCAAAGTGGCATAGCATGAACTGTCCTATGTTCCCAAGGAAGGGATTCAGTTTGCTTCTTTAGAAAGTGGTGGAGCAAGCTTGTGAGTTCTTGACCACAGTGGTATTCATTCTGGAAGTTTTCCCTAGGTGGTGAGTTCCTGAGTAGAAGTTAGATCCCAGACTTAATGAGGGAGCATGTTGTGTGTTTGCCTGTGGTGTCCAGGCCTTTGTATCCATGTGTACTAGCTCATTTAGCATATTAAGGCACCGATTGACTTATACTAGAGATTGCAAACTTGTAACTCACATACCAAGTCAGACTTATTTGTTGCGGCTACAAAGGGGTTTTGGTTTGGGCATTTTATTTGTTTGTTTGCTTTTAGTTCTAAGGTTTAAGGGTTGTTGTTTTTTTAATGTTTATTTTTGAGAGAGAGAGAGAGAGAGAGCGTGCGCATGCACCGATGTGTGCAAGCCAGGGAGAGGGAGACAGAGAATCTGATGCAGGGCTCAAACTCACGAATCCTGAGATCCTGACCTGAGCTAAAGTGGGACACTTAACCAATTGACCCACCCAGGCGCCACCTCAAGGTTTAAGATTCTTGAGATTTTGTAGGAAAGTCCAGATGTCTGGTTTCTCCTGAAAAATATTAGAAGTTCTAACTCTCCCAGGTCCATTGTCTCACAGTGAGGCATCAGCTGGGACTGGGCATTGGGCACACCCTTTCAGTGGTGTATGGGCTTTCCAGGTCCCCCATTCCTTACCTGGCCCCTTCCATAATCTACTTTGCCTGCTAACTCCCTGAAGGGATTCATTTCTGTGAGCCCTGCTATAGGGTACCATGGTTTTGGGTATTGTTCTGAACTCCCTGATGAAATGATCGATTTCTAGTTGCGGTGTGTGTGTGTGTGTGTGTGTGTGTGTGTGTGTGTGTGTTTACTTATATATATAAGCATGCTCTTATATATATATTATATATATATATAATATATATATATCCTTATATATATCCCATATATATCCTTATATATATCCCATATATATATATATATAAGAGCATGCTTATATATTTATATATATAAGCATGATCATTTCTTAAAAGGAGAAACTGCATGAATTAAAGGGCCGGAGCATTGTTCTGAACTCCTTGATGAAATGATCGATTTCTATTTGCTGGGATATATATATATATATGTATATATGTAGATATGTATATATATATATACACGCTCATTTCTTAAAAGGAGAAGCTGCATGAATTAAAGGGCTGGAGCCCAGAACCCTAATTGTTTCTCTCTCTTCTCACAGCTCGGCCTTCTCCCTGGGCTCCTGCCCCTGCTACTGAATGGAACAACATAGGTCAGGAAGGAACAACCACACCACTACCTATCGTGTCTCAGGTAAATTGTAGGTCTTCTTGCTGCCTTCCTAGACTATCCAGTCACAAGGACTTTCCTGTGCCTTCGCTGTCCTCAAACTTCTGTACCCCCCCCCCAGAGACTCCCCCACGCCCTTACCCATTTTGCAGAGAAGATTGGACCCCACCTTCTCAGTAATGAGGCTCCTTGCTGGATCTCTCTCTTACGATCCTTTGTAACATCGTCTGCTTCATCTGGCGCATCACACACGCTTGGTTCCCTGATTTTAATTCTCCTTTAGGGCCCGTCTGCATTTCCTTCATGACCACTCACCCTCTGAAGCCCCACGTGGTCACCTCCGTAGTCATGGCTGTTAGTGTTGTTACAGGGGCCAGCGAAAGATGTCCGTGTGGCGAGAGGTCTTTCCTACAAGAAGAGCATGCATCAGCTTCCCGCTCACAGAGACCCGTACCGGGATATGAGGAAAGAGAGCGTTGGGAACATGGCCTCCCCGGGTGAGGGTTCTTTCCCTTTCCACAAAAATAATTTGGGGATTTTTAATATCTTTATTTCTACCGATGATACAATAATTATAAATGTCAACACTTAAAGACCTCCATGGGTTGTCTGGTCATTTCTGTGGCCTGGTTTTACCAGACCTAGTCAGCACCTGTCCATGCTCTCTTAACTCCTTCCTTCCTTCCAGTTTACAATATATGCACATTCTTCTAACTTAGGGGTGAAAACATTGGCGAGGTGTTATATCGGACTGTCATGTTTATATTACTTAGATATAAGCTTACAGATACCACTAGACTAATAGCACCATAAAGTCACAGGTCTTTGTAGGATTTGTTTTTGTTTAACTGTAGCAACCTAACACTTTGCACACAGCTGGACGTACAGTGCCCAGCAAACACTGGCTGGCTGGCTGGAAATCTTGTGGATGGAAGAAAAAAAGTAATTTCAGTACAACTACCTCAGTAGTGCGTTGTGAATTATTTGAACAGCACGAATTTATAGACACATAACCACTGAAGCGTCACTTTGCAAGCAGACTTCTGAAGAATTACGTCACCTGCGTTAGTAGTGGGGATAAGTACAGTTCATTCATTCGTAAGCTAAAACTCGAAGACTGCCCGTTAATAAAATAACAGTCCCAGAGTGCACACCAGTCCACACCCAGCACGCTATAGACATGTGCTAATAAGGTAGCCACTAGCCACACAGAGCTACTTAAATGGATACAAGTAATTAAAATTAAATGAAGTTAAAAATTTCAGTTCCTCAGTGGCAGCAGCCCCGGTTAGAATATTTGATACCTTGTCAGCACAGTTAGAGACCATTGCCCTCACCACAGGAAGTTCTGTTGGACAACCCTACACATAGCACTGAAGTATAGTAGCAGGGGGGGTGACAGGACCACAGTGTCACCATCCCGGTAAGCACCTCAACAGAACATTCTTTTCCACTTGGTGAATTATCACCCTGCGATGTCAACATCCAGAAACACCATAAATTTACTGGACTGAGCTTATCAGCTACACTACTAATTTAGAACGTGTAATCCATGTGAACCCGAATAAAGAAAGATACACCAACAGTTGTTTACAACTAGAAGGCAACTAAGGCAGTGGAGAAAAATGACCAACAGAGGACACCCTGATGACTCTGGTGGCAAAGTGGTCTCCCCAGAGCAGCAGGTACCCGGCCGCCTGTGGGACCTCAGCGCACATGGCATCCGGGTCTCAGAACATGCCGTGTGAGAGCCCTGAGTGAAGTGTGCCACTGGTGGGGCATCCTCTGAGGATTCAGGTTTAGCCAGCTGACCCTTGAACAAGACATTTGGACTCCGTGGGTCCACTTCTGTGTGGATTCTTTTCAATAAGTACAGTTCAGTATCTATCGAAAGTACTCACAGTTAAATTAGTTAATATATTTTCTCTTCCTTAAGATTTTCTTAATCTTCTCTCTGACTTACATCATTATAGGAATACAGTAGGTGATACATATAACATACAGAATGTATATTAATTGGCTGTTTATGATATGGATAAGGCTTCCGGTCAACAGTAGGCTATTTGTCGTTAAGTTTTGGGGGAGTCAGAAGCTATACCCAATTTCTGACCCTGTGGGGTTGGTTCCTCTAGCCCCCACTTTGTTCAGGGCCAGTGGTGATTACATATGGAAAGGCCCAGGCCCAGAGACCGCTGCCTCAGTCTTTTCTCATGGACTGTAAACTGATGACTCATAGGCTGAATCCAGCCCATGCGCACATTTTGGCCTTGCACAGGTTTTAATTTAAAATTAGTTAATCTGCATTTTCTGTATATCTTGAAAAATCAAATGTCAGGAACCACGGGCCCACCTTTTCACCGAACAGCAATCGGCCAGAGCTGAATCAAGGAGCTCATGCTTGAACTGCCACACTTCTTCCTCAGCTGCATTGCCTGCCTGGGCCTTATTATGGGTATTTGAGCTTTCATTATCTCTACACTTACCTCTCTCAAGTAAAAATAAAGAGCATATCTCCATCGCTGGGGTTCTTTCAGAAAGGATTTGCTTTGATGCTCCTTCTCTTGAGAATTCCATGGACTTTCTGTGTGTATTATCCAGAGAAGAAAACTGAATTTTATTACAATACTTAATGGGCATTGGATACTTCACAGGCGATAGTTTATTTAATATTCCCAGCACTTCTGTGAATAGAGGCCATCATTCCCTAGGGAACTGAAGCTCAGAGATTCAGAAAGATCCCCTGGCCCAAAAGTAAGGCAGGTGGTGGAGCCAGGGTTCACGTTTATGACTCGTTGAGCTCTGTGGTGCTGTAACACAACACGTTGTTGGTGTGCTTCTCTGGCCTTCTGTCTCTTTCCTGTTAACCTTGCCGGATGTATCCAGAAATTGCTTCTCGCCTGTCTTAGCCCCACCATGTGTATGCGTGTGTTGGGGCGAGGGTATGTGGCAGGCAGATATGAGCACACTTTGTTTTTTAAGTAACAAATGCTGGTTAGGAGCAGACACTGAAGCTAATACAACGTTAGACATGGAGAGGGAATCACAGGTAATAAACTGTATGTTTCTTAACCTTAAAGGCTTTCCCTTAAGAACTAGCTGCAGAAAGAAGTGGTGCATATGTGAGAAGTAAAATGATAACATAAGTTACTAGATGGTTGTGGCAAAGAAGAGAGAGTTCAGAATAACTGTGTACTATACCGTAAGTAGTAGGAATACCTATGCTGTACAGTCATGGTTAAGGAAGGTTCTAAAAGAGAGGGGGGTTGGACAAGACCTTTCAAAAATAGATGTGAACATATAAAATTAATTGACACTTCTAATATATATTTCCTAAGCATTGAAAATAAAAATTTTAATGTTTAATAAAAAGAAATAAAAATTAAACAGTACTGAATTGCAAAAAAATAAAATAATAATAGGTGTGAACAGGTGTCCAGGACATCACGCTCTGGTGGCAGATTAGGCTGCGTGGCCTCTACCTCTGTGTTCAACATGGAATGTGTTTCTGTCTCTGTAGGAAGTACCATGTCTGCATCTAACAAGGTGGCCCGGTTGGAGCAAAGAAAGGAGCCATGGGCCCTCGGTCTCCACTCTTCTAACAAAAGGAACATTCTCCGAAGCAACTACGTCAAGGAAAAGCCGGTTCACGCTACTCAGATCCCCGCGCGCGGTGTGGGCCGGATGTGGGGCGAGCAGCAGCACTGGGGTTTGGAAGACGAAAAGATAGCAGGCGTGCACTGGAGCTACGAGGAAACGAAGACGTTCCTCGCGATTCTCAAGGAGTCTCGCTTTTATGAAACGCTGCAGGCTTGTCCCCGGAACAGCCAGGTGTACGGGGCCGTGGCCGAGTGGCTGCGCGAGTGCGGCTTCCTCCGCACGCCCGAGCAGTGTCGGACCAAGTTCAAAAGTCTCCAGAAGAGCTACCGGAAGGTGAGAAACGGCCACGTGCTGGAACCCTGTGCCTTCTTTGAGGACATGGACGCCCTGTTGAACCCCGCAGCCCATGCGCCGCCCGCTGATAAGCCAAAGGAGATTATCTCTCTCCCCAGACTAAAGAGAATTGATGTCAGTGCTAAAGAACAGACCGGTTTGTTGGAGGAGGAGGAAGCCGCCGAAGCCTCCGATGGTGATGAGAGGGGCGTGGCGTTCATCCGGAAGTCTGAGATCCGGAGCGCCCCTGTCTTGTTCCAGAACCTGAGCGGTGAGAACTGTGCTTTTGCTTGGGGTGTGAAGGCAGACGGTACGGGTTTGTGGTAGCAGGAGTAGACCAGAGGCAGCCAAACCTGGGGAGCGCTGGCCTGCACGCCTTGCTCCCGATCGCTGAAAGTACACTGGGCAGGAGTGGGGTGCTGCTGCTCCCCCACACCCACCCCAGCCCCTCTGTGCAGTCTGAGTAATGGCCACGAAGGGTCTCTCTCTGGCTAGAGCAGAGACGGGTTCGCGTGTGGGGAGCATGTGGAAGGGAGATAGGGGGAGTCCAAGGACTCGGCAGAACCTAGCATCTGAGCCTTGGAGTAAAGCAGCTAGTGGTGCTGCATTACAGTAAGGCAAAGGTACGGCGCTGCGCTGTCTAGGACAGCCAGAATGAGAATGTATAAGTAACAAAAAAAAAAGTGAAAAATACAATTGTAGAAAGAAGGCAAGAAAGGAAAGAAAAAGGAACACAAAGTAGACGAATCAAATGGAAAAAAATGGTAAAATGGTAAATGTAAATCCAAATACATCATTATAGACGTAAAAGACTAAGATTATCATCGTTTAAAAAAGCAATTAAATATTGCCTACAAGGGATGCATGTGAAGAAAAGAGACCTCGAAATTAAAAGATAGGAAAAGATATACCACATACCATAGAAACAGAGGCTGGTGGTGAAATCTGGGGACTGGGAGCGTGCAGAACTAAAGTGGCACTTGGTGACCGTGTGACGGTAGGCATGTCACATGAGTGCCTGGAGCTGCAGTTTGTCACCAGTAAATTGAGACTGAGGACTCCAGAGTTGTTAGTGTGAAACGAGATAAGAGAGAGAGCATTGATGAGGGCATTCTGCAGATGTTCAGTGCAGGGAAGCCTTGCCCTGTGTCGCTCACTAGGAGAGTTCCCCCACCCCGCCTTAGGAAAAGCTGGGGAGTGCTTAGCATGGGAAGAGAGGTCGGAACGGAGAGCCGGGTCTGCCCTTCTGGCTGCATCTATGCAAGAGAGACAGCTCAGGACAAGACGGGAGGTGCATCGGGCCTGGTGCATGGGGCATGCACCCGTGCTGAGCAGTCTGGAAACCCAGGGGCCTGAGGGTGGCCCCAGACTTGGGAATGCAGTGCCGGCCCTGGAGGAGGCCACCCGGTGAGCTGAGGACAGAGTGACTTCGCCCTACTTACACACCGCACAGGAAGCATAGTTTAGCGAACTGTATTCCAACGTGTCCCGAAAAGTTTTACTGCTGTAATGGCAGAGCATCCACAGGTCTTGCACCACGTGTCATCTCTCCCCAGTGGAGGACTCAGTGACATCGAAGACTGCTCTGGACAGAGCTGTACTCTTCAAGGAAGGCTGGTCAGAAAAGTGTCCTGATCTGTTGTTCTTAACCGTTTAGAAAAGAGCTATATCCTCAGTTAACCGCCATAGCAGCGGCAGATTTGAGGGACTGCGTTCTTACTCTTGAGATCGGTTTATGAATTTCAATTTAAAAATCCCACTGGGATTTTGACCTTGCAGATTCATTTGGGAATTGATGTCTGTGCAGCTCAAGTCTTCCTATCCAGAAACATAGTGCCTCTCAATTTTTTCTGGCTCATGTCTGTCTTTCAGTCAATTACAGATTTTTTTTTTATTTATTTTTTTTACATAGACCCTCGCCTTTCTTTGCACATCTTATTCCCAGGCATATCATAGTTCCTATCGCCACTGTGAATGGATTTGCTTTCTTTTACTCCCTGTATTTAGAGGCTACAGATTCTTTTTCTTCTATCTGTGACCTTTATCCTTCCCTGGCAGGTGTGCACTGGGGCTACGAGGAAACCAAGACTTTCCTCGATATCCTGCGGGAGACTCGGTTTTACGAAGCCCTGCAGGCCTGTCATCGGAAGAGCAAGCTGTACGGGGCTGTGGCTGAGCAACTGCGCGAGTGTGGCTTCCTCCGGACACCCGAGCAGTGCCGGACCAAGTTCAAAAGCCTCCAGAAGAGCTACCGCAAGGTGAAGAACGGTCACGTGCTAGAGTCCTGCGCATTCTACAAGGAGATGGACGCCCTGATCAACGCTCGGGCCCCTGCCCCTTCCACCGACACCCCAGACGAAGTGCCGTCACCCTCCGCACAGGAAGGAGAGGCTGTTGAGATGGAAGCCCAGGGACCCACAGGCTGGGAACCTGAGGAGACGTCACAGGAGGCAACAGGAGAAGATTCTGGCAGTGAGAGAATGAGTGAGGAGGAAAGCGTACCCGAGTCGGAATTCCAGGGGCCTCCGGGTCTGCTGCAAAGCCCACGTGGTAAGGACCGTCAGGGGGAAAGTGTGATTCGCTGAGGAATCAGTAGCTCTGGCATTTCACGTAGTATTTGTTCATTAAACAGATATTTGAGTGCCCTGTGTTACGTGAGGAACAGGGGAGGTAGCAGTGAATAAAACAGTCTCTTTTCTCACGGCGCCTCTGTTCCGGGAAGGAGCTTACATTCTAGCAGTTCGGTCTGTGGGACCTCAGCCTCAGGGTTGGTCTGTGTGGGTCGATGTTTCGTCTCTCCTGAAACCACCGTGCAGACCGAGAACTTGGAATCATACGTGACGAATGTGGCGAAAACACTCAGAGGAAGCAGGCTGAAAACACAGACATCTCGGGTCTTCGTGATGTGCTGGAGGAAAGGGCTAGGCAGCGGCGGAACGGAGAGAGGCTCTGCTCTGTCCCCAGCCCCGTGGCCCTGCCCGCATGTTCCCTGCGACTTCCCGTGCCCTCAGGGGCCTTTGCAGCTGCCCGGACCTGACATGTTCGAAACTAAACCACCGTCTTCCTTCCCACAGCGTGGTCTTCCCTGTGTCCTCTCACTTCCAGGCTTAGCACTGTAGACGCATTTTTGGTGCTTTCTGTCTCATCATTTACCTCTAAGCAGGTAACACTTTTGTCACCGGTTCTGGAACTTCTGTTCCCTCTTTAGACACCACAGCCACTACCCTGGTTCAGCCTCTTCTGTCTCTGGCCTAGACTTTTGTAAAAGTCTCCACACCAGGCTCCCCATCAGCCTTGTGTGAAGTCCCACAGCCGTCCTCAGTCCGAGCGCATCTTTCCGTGCTCACCCGTAACGCTTTTCCTTCCAGCACTCTGCTGCTTCGGAGCAAACGCTAGAGAAGGAACACACATATGCTTTGTGCTAGTATTTACCTGGGAAATTGTAGTTTGAAGGTTGCAGTCATTAAGTCCTACATAACCCTGGTTTTGCTGACTGGAAACAGAGTCCTTTGGTGCCATCCCTTGTGAATCTCATTTTTTAAATCGAGCTGCAGACCTGTCACTGGATTGTCAGGTTCTGTCCGAGCCAGCCACGGGGCTGTGACTTCCTCCAACCCCGGGACAATGTGGGACCCGATGAGGTTGCTTCAAAAGAACTGCAGAATGAAAGGTGATGGCCTTGTTGGGGCTTTCACTTAAGGGACCGACTGAGGGATGCCCTCCCCTCCCCAGCCCATGCCGCAGCCACCAGACTTGGGGGGGTGGGGTATCTGCAGTTTCAGCTCCGTGTGTCCAGGGAAAGGGGTGTCAAACCTGGCAAGCAGAAACAAGGCAGCATAGCAGAATGCTTAGAGCAGGGGTGTGGGGGTCACACAGACCTGGATGGAATAATATGATGTCTGGAATTTGATTCAAAATAATCTGGGGAGGGGCGCCAGGCTGGCTCAGTCATTTGAGCGTCCAACTCTTGATTTCGGCTCAGGTCATGATCCCAGGGTTGTGGGATTGAGCCCTGAGTTGGGCTCTGAGCTGACAGCACGGAGTCTGCTTAAGACTCTCTCTCCCTTTGCCCTTTCTTCCCTGCTCGCGCATGCGCACACTCTCCCTTTCTTTCCGTCTCTCTTTTAAAAAATAAATAAAATAATAATAATAATCTGGGTAGAGGGAGCAGGAAGCAGGTGGGAATAGAGGTGAAATTAGACCGGCTAGAAGTAGATCATTGTTAAAGCCAGGTGAGAGGTTCATGGAAGCTCATCTCACATACTGTAGTCACTGCTTTGCTGCATGTTTGAATTTCCCGTAATAAAAAGTTAATGCAGAACCACACAGTGAATAAGTGACCAGGATGGAATCTGAACCAGGGCTATGTGACTCTGAAGCCTGTGTCTTCCTACCACATCGCACTGTCTGTGGAGCAGACTTCCGGGGAAGCCTGGCATCCGGGACGCACCTTGCAGTGTGCAGGGGGCATGGATGAAAGCGTGAGGGGCGGTAGTTCACTCTGGGGAAGGGGAAGGTGAGAATGCAGATTTGAGCCCACGTGGCCCGTGTGCGAGACGGCCGGAGAAAAGCAGTGACAAAGAACGTTTGGGGAGAAGAAAGAAATGTGGACAGATATTGATGAGCTTGGAAGTCCATTGAGGAACCTGGTCACTGGACTGTGCCCTGAGCCCGGTGCCGCACGCTGTGTGCTGGCACAGATGTGAAGTTTTGAATGCAGGGTGGGAGGGGGTGGGGCTTCGGGAGAAGGCTGAGCAGGTCCCGTGGGACTCGGGAGGCGGATGGGGATGAACAGTTTGCATCAGGAAACATTTCTGAAAGCCTCTGTTTTACGAGGTATGGCTGGTCGTGGGTGGGACGTAGTGAAAATAAGGCATAGTGCACCAGAGAAGGGTAACCCGACCTGAGGGCCGGAGGAGAACACAGGGACCCCGCAGATGCAGCCCTGCAGGCCATGTTATGTTAATACAGGACCGGTCTGAAATCTTTCTCGTCTTTTTTTTTTTTTCTTTCCAGATTTTGAAATTGGGAATATCAAGGAGGATGCAACACAGGTAATGTACAAGGACATGGAGCAGCATCGTGCACTGATAGAAAAGCCTACGAGGGTTGTTTCCCAGAATGCTGACCCAGGCAAATACCGCAGAAGGGAATGCATCTCAGGAAGACCGTGGGAAAGCCTGCAGGCAGTCAGACAGGGAAAGCCTGTGTCTCAGTCTCGAGATTTAGGGAGAGCCGTAGTGCATCCGAGGCCTTTCATGGGGAGGAGACCCTCCCGGCTTCTCAAATACGGAGAAGGCTTCAGGAACGCCCGCCTGATGTGCCGGGTGACCCACCAGAAGGAAAATCCTTACCAGTGCGGTGTCTGCGGGAAGTGCTTTGGCAGAAGCAGGAGCCTAATCCGACACCAGCGAATCCACACGGGAGAAAAACCCTTTAAGTGTCTTGACTGTGGGAAGAGCTTTAACGACTCCTCCAACTTTGGTGCCCACCAGAGAATCCACACGGGGGAGAAGCCATATGGGTGCGGTGAGTGTGGAAAGTGTTTCAGTCAGAGCTCAAGCCTCATCATCCACCGGAGGACACACACCGGGGAGAAGCCATACCAGTGCGGCGAGTGCGGGAAGGGCTTCACCAACAGCTCCCACTTTAGCGCCCACCGCAGGGTGCACACTGGCGAGAACCCCTACAGATGCGCAGACTGCGACAGAAGCTTCAATAACTGCACGAGATTTCGGGAACACCGGAGGGTACACACCGGGGAGAAGCCCTATGGATGCACCCAGTGTGGCAGACGCTTCAGTAAGAGCTCTGTCCTCGCCACGCATCGGGAGGCTCATTTGAGAGAGAAGCTTCTGCCGCATGCCCCGTCCACCTGTCCCCCCGAGAACCCGCCAAAGGGAAAGACTGATGAGCTCAGGAAAGCTTTTTGACACTAACTTCTCCTCCTCACCTGCCCCTTTAGTTGTTTTACCCCCTCTCATCCTTGGAAGCGATCTTTCTTAGCCGGGGAGTGTAATTCCCGAGACCGGCTTGAGAACATAGACAACTCGTGTCCTCACCCCTGCCTCTGACTTGACCGATCTATTCCCTTCCTGTGCATCTCAACTTCTCCCTTGGCCAGGTGGGGAGGACATCCTGTCTGGGTTCAGAATGGCGGTCCCTTCAGCATGTCATGGCCTCTGCTGCAGGATTGCCGAGTCCAGCAGCGTTCAAGGTCCCTCATAGACCCGACCTGCTGATTGTTTCCCGTTACCCACCATGGGGGATCCTGGATGCAACTTGATCCCAGATTTCTTACTGGGGTAGAACTTTCTGGAGTCTGATCAGGACAACATCACATGCATCTCAGTTTTAAAGGTAGTCACTGGGGAGATTGAGTTTTCACAGCCTGCTTCAGAAGTCTGTTGCAATTGAACCCTTTTGGTGACCGGTTGACCCACAGAGCTAGGGCGGAGGCCTGGTACTGTCACTGAAACCACGTTATGGCCTCCTCACCCTCCGTGGAGATGAGAACCCACCACCCACCAGGCTGACCTTTTCTGCACCTGAAGACTGAGCTCCCCCTTGGCTGCTGGTTCTCCAGCCTCTACGTGATTATGCAGTTCCTTACCAATTCTCGTAAGTCTACGCTTACCTCTTAGCTGTTCTGGGTGCTCTTGCCTGACTCTGCTGAGCGACCGGGCCCTCTCCAGATTGAACAGGGTGCATGCCTGTGGTGTGCATCACTAACAAGAAGCAGACTCTTCCTCTGGACACGTTCTGCCCTCCACCTGCTCTGGTCCTTACCTAGAACATGACTGGCACGGTGGCATATTTCCTGCCTCCCACCCCTGCACTGTAGTATGATGTTAGATAATAATAGTTCTCTAAAACTTTAAGAGGGTAGGGAGGAAGGGAGGTAGAAACTGGAAACGTTCTCTCTTTCCGAGAGCAGTCAGACTCCTTGGGCCTGCTCTAGATCGGATAGCCACCTCATTGAGACCACCCCCTCCAGGCTGTTCGCTAAACACACCCGCCTTTTCTGAGGCTCCCAGTCCCTGTTCCTGGGACCATCAACCTAACCGTGGAGCCCTGAGTCATTTATATAACACTGTGGCTTACTGAGTGAAAAGTGGAAAGATTGACAGAAACTTCCAGTCCAGAACCACTGTTGTTTTCCTCATTTACCTGCTGGTCTGAAAAATCTCTTCGATTCCCCCTAGTACTAGCCCAACACATACTGAGGGAAGAGTCAAAATGGGGAGGTGGGGGAGAGGAGGGAATTCATTGATTCCTGGAAACTATAGGTGAGACCAAGGACCCTGGTCATCAAGGCCGGCTGCTCAAGGACGAGCCCAGTGATGCATACAGCCTTGGTACACGGGCTGCCTGGGGTGGCTTTGCCTTGGGGAAGGGGTTCTGAGGGCCGTGCACAGATTATACTTTGGATCTTACCTCACCTCCTTTGTCAGGTGTCCTCTTATATGGAGACCTCTGGAGATCATATTTTTCCTTTGAGGATGTTTGAACCTTTCCAGGCCTGTTCAGCCGACTACCAAGGAGGGTGGGCAGTGTAGAAAGACATCCAGTCGGTGGTGCCAGGATAGGGCGTGGCCTGCGGGAAGGCAGGTGACTCAGGTACGCATTGATGGTGTTTCTGATTTACATTTGTTGGAGATGTTGCAACTGTTCACACCTCAGTAGGTTCACTTCCTGCGTGTGGTCTGAGTTATAGACTTTAATGGTAAGTGCGGTGTCTTGTCGTTAGTGTGCCTAGCACAGTCAGATGCGTGCAGTGCCCGTGGGCGTGAGCTTGTATTGCGTAGGTATTCTGGAAGTCCAGTGCTAGAGGAGATGCACATTCATAGGAATCACCACTTAGTGATATGTACACAGGATTGATAACTATATTGAAGCATGATTCAGGAAAGTAGATGATTTATTCCTACATATGTATTAAGTACTGTTATGTGTAAGGCTGTCTTCCAGGCACAGGGAGGGGATGCGGAAATGGAAAAAGACACGGTGCCTGTACTCCTGGAACTTGCAGTCTGACAGAGGAAGTATTGCAGCTAAAGGTAATCAGTGCCAGTTACCTTCATGTCACTTGCAGAAGCTCAGTGACTCAACTGTGAGAAAATCACTCTCACTCACAAAAAAAGAGTTTTTCTGAATTGCCCCAAACTGTATCCTCTTCCTCTGCCTCTCCGACGTCCCCGATGGCGGGAAGGGCACAGGATCCGTTCCATCTCGAGTGGGACACACCAGTCCTGTGTAAGTCTCCTATGTCTGCGCTCATGCAGAGGTGGGGCCGGGGTTCTGCTGCCCGTATTCCCGATGGTAGATGGGCTGTTTGGACGTGGGCTGAACTAACTGTGTGCACTGTCTGTTCTGAGACGGTGGAAGGTCCCACCCACCACCTTGGACCAAGACGACTCGCATTTTGTCTTTTTTCAACTGGAGCATGAAAGTCAAAATGAGTAGTAATGAGTCTTTTATGTCACATAACATTGCCTTTATGAAGATCCGTCGGAAAAGGTTTTTTCCTGGGTCTTGGTACCAGGGAAAGCTCTGATCCTAAGCAGGAAAAAAATGTTACAAACACTGTGATTTTTATAACTTCCTCCTTTTCTCTCTCTGTTCTGGCTGCTGGAAAGCTCAACAAAACCTACAAGCCACCTCAGCCAACTACCTAAGGCCTGTATTTGTTTAACCCTACTGTGTTTCTTTGAAAAGTATCCCCAATCCGATGTTTTTAGAGTAGTTTGAACACATGGACATCTTGTTCTCCGCCATCTTACCCAAGGCACTTCGGAAACAAGCTTGTATTCCCTGCCAGCACTGCTGTGTTAGCCCTGCCGACACCTTCAGTTCCTGCCGGTGACTTTGTTACCCATACACCCTAATTTATTCATAAATCTTCTTTAAAGAGGGAAACTTCACACATACGCTTAAGCGCCTCTAGGCCACCTGCCCCAGGGGAGTGAGCATTAGACCAGAAGCCAGAAGGGACACGTTTTAGTCTTGTCGCTATCACTGAGTGTCGTGTGACACAGCTCAGCCTCTCTGGGCCCGTGCCCCCTTACCTGGAGAGACGTTGAACTTGATCGCTGAGACTCCTCTGGCTCGAGCGTTTAGTGAGCCGATGGGGCACAGTGTAGATGAGGAAGAGGTCCTGAGGCCAGGTGCCCCGGCCGGCCCCCCGCGGCGAGCGGCAGCCCGGCCACACACACCCCGCTGCACGCCTTGGAAAGAGGGGTGCCGGGAGCTGGCGCGGCGAGGAGGAAGGCCAGGTCTCTCGTGGCCACCAGCGGGCAGCCCCCGTGGCTCCTCGGTGGCCAGCGGCAGGTGGCTGCGGTGAGGAAAGCGGCGTGGCAGTTCGGCGCCCGGGCAGGGGCAGGCCCTGGCTGTGAAGGAGTGAGGCGGGGAGGCCCAAGGCAAGGGGCGGGCAGCCTGTGCAGCCGCTAGCGGGCCGCCCAGCGCACTCCACGTGGCAGCGCGCGTCTCTTCCCTGTCCTGTACCCGCGTTCGCTTAGCTGTCTCCTTGGAAACGTGTACGTGAAATAAATGTCTGAGATAATGACTCCCGTTGGTTTTTGCCATCACTTGAAGGAGGCATTCTATGAAGGCAAGAGAGAACTTCTGAGATGACAAAAGCGGATCCAGTAGCTCTGTCAAGAGAGTTTCGGAGCAAGTGCAGCTCCCTGCTCTCCCTGCCTGGGGCGGGCTGGTGAGGCCACCGCTGCTCTGCTCCCGCTCAAGGCCAGAGCTGCCTCCACCACTGCCCCCAAGGAATGGCTCCGGTTCTGGGGTGGAGTCGGCCCTGGGGACCGCACGGCCTCTCCTGGCGGCTTGAACAAGCACGCACGACCTCCCCAAAGACGCGGTGTGCCTTCACATTTACTGTTTGCCCTGGAAGAGTCCCAGTGGCCTCCATCCGCCCTTCATCCCGTAACGGTTTCAACTCCAAGGCCATAGAGTCAGTGCAGAGACTTTGCCCCTTGGCGAGGACCGCTTCTAACTAAAGTCACAGGCCCTGAGGGAGGAACCACTGCGGGGAGAATGACAAGATGGGTTTAGTGAGCCACCCACCTGCACGTGAGGTGGACTGCGTGTACCCCTCCCCGGCCCTCCTCTGCCCTGTGCGGCTGGCCGCTAGTGCCCAGCGCCCTCGAGCACTACAGCCTCGCAGAGTCCGTGTCTAAGCATCCCTGTGAGTTGTCTGTGTTTTCCTTGAGTAAATGGGTACAGCCTTTGGGAGGAAGTGAAGATGACGGCCTCATCACGTGGCCTCCATTCCCTCACAGAGATTTAGGTCTGTGAACAGACTCGGGTCTGGGAATTACATGAGAGGCTTTAAATCTCTAAGGGAGGAACAATTTTGTAAGGGCTGCAAATTTGCAATTTCTCGAAACCAGTTAAATCAACTAGACTTTAAGGGAGGTGAATGAACGTCTTTGTGTTTAAGGACTAAAAGGAACATAGCTGAGGGCAGAGAGTGGGAGGTACAGGCTTCCAGTGGTAGAATGAGTAAGTCATCCATTGAGGGGTCCAGGGAACATCGTCAATGTAATAGTGTTGTATGGGGACAGGTGACAGTATGGATACACTTGAGAGCACAGCGTAAGGTACACTGTTGTACACGTGAAGCTAATGGAACACTGTGTTTCAACCACACTTCAATTAAACAAAAAGTCCTGTAGCTAGTCACAGCCCCCAGACTTCCTGATGAGTCTAAGGACATGAAGGGAAACAGTGGCTCCGGGTTGCACTAGAGGTGAATACCAAACCCACCTGGAGATGGTGAGACTATAATTTATTTATTTTTTATAATTCATGTCCAAGTTAGCACTTGGTGCAACAATGATTCCAGGCGTAGATTCCTTGAGCCCCTTAGCCATTTAGCCCCTCCCCCTCCTCCAACCCTTCTAGCAACTCTCTGTTTGTTCTCTGTATTTAAGAGTCTCTTGGGGCGCCCGGGTGGCTTAGTCGGTTAAGCGTCCGACTTTCGCTCAGGTCACGATCTCGCGGTTCGTGGGTTCGAGCCCCGCGTCGGGCTCTGTGCTGACTGCCAGCTCAGAGCCTGGAGCCTGTTTCAGAGTCTGTCACTCCCTCTCTCTCTGACCCTCCCCTGTTCATGCTGTCTCTCTCTCTCTCCTAGAAATAAATAAATAAAACATTAAAAAAGAAAAACGTAAAAAAAAAAAAAAAGAGTCTCTTATGTGTTTGTCCCTGTTTTTATATTCTTTTTGCTTCCCTCCCCTTATGTTCATCTGTTTTGTATCTTAAAGTCCTCAAATGAGTGAAGTCATATGATATTTGTCTTTCTCTGACTGACTAATTTCACTTAGCAGAATACCCTCTAGTTCCATCCTCATGGCAAAATTACATTCTTTTTGATTGCCGCGTGATACTCCATTGTCTCTATGCACCACATCTTCTTTTTTTTTATTATTATTATTATTTTTAATGTTTTATTTATTTCTAGGAGAGAGAGAGAGACAGCGTGAGCAGGGGAGGGTCAGAGAGAGAGGGAGTCACAGACTGAAACAGGCTCTTGGCTCTGAGCTGGCAGTCAGCACAGAGCCCGATGCGGGGCTCGAACCCACGAACCGCGAGATCATGACCTAAGCGAAAGTCGGACGCTTAACCGACTAAGCCACCCAGGTGCCCCACACCACATCTTCTTTATCCATTCATCCATCGATGGACATTTTGACTCTTTCCATACTTTGGCTATTGTCAATAGTGCTGCTATAAACATTGGGGTGCATGTGTCCCTTCGAAGCAGCATACGTGTGTCCCTTGGATATATACCTAGTAGTGCAATTGCTGGGTCATAGGGTAGTTCTATTTTTAATTTTTTGAGGAACCTCCATACTATTTTCCAGAGTGGCTGCACCAGTTTGCATTCCCATCAGCAGTGCAGAAGAGATCCTCTTTACCCACATCCCCACCAACATCTGTTGTTGCCTGAGTTCTTATTAATGTTAGCCATTCTGACAGGTGTGAGGTGGTGTCTCATTGTGGTTTTGGTTTGCATTTCCCTGATGATGAGTGACGTTGAGCATCTTTTCATGTGTTGGTTGGCCCTCTGGATGTCTTCTTTGGAGAAGTATCTATTCATATCTTTTACCCATTTCTTCACTGGACTATTTGTTTTTTATGTGTTGAGTTTGATAAGTTCTTTATAGATTTTGGATACTAACCCTTTATCTGATATATCATTTGCAAATACCTTCTCCCATTCCGTCAGTTGCCTTTTAGTTTTGCTGATGGTTTCCTTCACTGTGCAGAAGCTTTTTATCTTGATGAGGCCCCAGTAGTTCATTTTTGCTTTTGTTTCCCTTGCCTCCAGATTCGTGTTGAGTAAGAAGTTGCTGCGGCTGAGGTCAAAGAGATTGTTGCCTGCTTTCTCCTCTAGGATTTTGATGGCTTCCTGTTTTACATTTAGGTCTTCCATCCATTTTGAGTTTCCTTTTGTGTATGGTGTCACAAAGTGGTCCAGGTTCATTTTTCCGCATGTCACTGTCCAGTTTTCCCAGCACCACTTGCTGAAGAGACTGTGTTTATTCCATTGGATGTTTTTTCCTGCTTTGCCGAAGATTAGTTGGCCATATGTTTGTGGGTCCATTTCTGGGTTTTCTATTCTGTTCCGTTGATCTGAGTGTCTTTTTTTTGTGTGTGTGCTGTAGCCTGTGCCATTCTTGCCACCAAAGAATGTGAAGAAACAAAGATGAATTAGCAACAACCTTCCTCTTGAGAGCTTATGGTCTAGAAATTGTCATGAAAGACCAGGACTCGAAACCCAACTTAAGTAAGCAGTGAGAAGAGTTACAGTGCGGGACGCCTAGCTGGCTCAGTCTGTTGAGTATCAGACTTTGGCTCAGGTCATGATCTTCTGGTTTGTGGTTTTGAGTCCCACGTCGGACTCTGTGCTGCCAGCTCAGAGCCTGGAATTCGCTTTGGATTCTGTGTCTCGCTCTCTCTCTGTCCCTCCCTTGCGCGCGCGCTCTCTCTCTCTCTCTCTCTCTCTCTCTCTCTCAAAAAATAAAACATAAAAAAAATTTAAATAAAAGAGTTACAGTGCATGTCTTCCTGTCCGCCTCTGAATGGGGAACTAACAGGCAGATGGGAGATCAGGCATATCTGTCCCTTATTCAGAAACAGTAAAGTGTGATGACAAAGATCATGAACCCTATAGTCAAACATCCCTGATCTTGGGTTTTGGTTCTGCCAATGGACTGTGTGACTCTGGGTGACACCATCTCTTGGAATCTGCATTTGTCCCCTTGGAACATGAGAAGGGGTGAGAGTACCTGCCCGTGTTACTTTCCTGGGGCTGCTGTACAAATCATCCCAAACTGCATGGCTTAAAACAACCGGAATCTATTCTCTCCCAGTTCTGAGGCCACGAGGCTGAAGTCGGTATCCGCAGAACCACGCCCTCTCCAAGGCGGTAGGGGAGAAAGCCTCCTTGCCTCTTGTGGCTCCCGGGGACTCCTGGTACCTGCGTGTGACGCGGCGACTTCAGTCTTTGCCCCCGTCCTTCTTCCATGTGCCTTCTTCTCTGTGTCTGCGTGTCCGTCTGTCTCTTCTAAGGACACTCCCATTGGATTTAGGGCCACCACCTAACCCAGCCTGATCTCACCTCGATTGATCCTTACCTTAATTAAATTACAAAGACCTTATTTCCACATACGGTCACCTTCTGAGGTTCCTGAGTGTGGACATGAGTGTGGAGGATGCTATTCAACCCACTATGCTACCTCATAGGGTTGTGGGGAGCAAATGGGATAATGCATGTAAAGCATTACGCACAGCACTGAGCACAGAATAAATGATCAGTGTTAGCACACATGTGCTCATGCATAGGCATGCATGTGTATACGTGTATACATGTATACATACGCGTGTATGTTTGTATATATGCATGTATGTGTATATTTTTATTTTGTTATTTACTGGATTTACCAAAAGTCTATTTCTTTTTTATTTACATATTTTTGAATGTTTATTTATTTTGAGAGAGAGAGAGCACAAGCAGGGGAGGGGCAGAGAGAGAGGGAAAGAATCTTGAGCAAGCTCTGAGCTATCAGCACAGACCCTGAAACGGGGCTTGATCTCACAAACTTAGATCATGACCTGAGCCGAAACCAAGAGTCAGATGCGTAACCAACCAAGCCACCCAAGTATCCCACAAAGTTTTATTTCATCACTTAGCCAAATGAAACAGTAACTATTCACACTTGTCACGCTTTGTAAATGTTCTAATTTGCGTGTTTCTGGTTTTATCATAGTATTTCCTCAATTTGTCTTTTTTCTTTTTTTTTTTTTTTTTTTAGGTTTGTGGTTATTATTCTTGTTTGTTATTCTCCTTGTCTCCAAAAGCTGCTCTGGGTGTGTGGTGTGTGGTGTGTGTTTTTGCATCTGGCAGCTGCACAGCATGCTGGCGACTTTCTCTAGGGAGTTGTTTGTTTGTTTGTTTTCATTTTTAACTCAGGTGAGCATTTTGTTCATCTTGTAGAAGTGGGGGAGTCTTCATTGGTCGTTGAGAATTACTTTTCCCTCGCACTCCTTGACGGTGTTACAATGACCTTCTTCCGTAAATGACCCATAGGTTTTCTAGAGAAGATGCATTCTTTTTGGAAGGTGTGAAGTTAGGAATGTGTCTTTGTATCTTTTTTTAATCCCTCCTTATTCTGATCGTCGTTTCTTCCATCCAAACACCACTGTCTCTCCAGACCTATGTTAGGCCATGTTATCGATCTCCTTGGGAGGTCCCTACAGCTCTGGCCGACCCCCACGCCCACCCTGTTCCCCCCACCGAGCGCCTCAAGTGGGCTGATCTGTGTCCTAGGTGATATCGGGGACCAAACCAGACCCTGGGCCCTGCGTGGGGCTTCTCGGGGCCCTGCGGCCTCTGATCAGGGACTAACTCTGAGCTCCCGGCGGAGTTCCAGGATGGGTCTGGCCTGCTGGGAGACAGGCTCTGGGCGGCCCGCACCCTCAGTACCTGCCTTGATGCTGGACTCTAGTCCGGGCTCTGGACGGCTAAGGCCTGGCCCAGATTTTTGCTTCCTCCCCAGCAGCACCCATTTCCGAAATGAAAGGTAAGTGCACTGGAAAGGAAATAGTGGACTATTTATTGCGAAGCTAGCCTGGCAGCTCAGGAAGCAAGGAAACCCCCAGAAGGCCCTTCTGTAACAGCAAAGTCGGGAGCAGGGGCAGGAGAAGGAAAGGGGCCGGGGGAAGTGAACTCCTGTGCATAGACAGCCGCCTATTCAGCTCTGGAGAGCCTCCCTCCCTCGCACTGGTAACCTGCTTCCCGGCTGGGATCGCGGCCGAGCACCGCAGAGTTCAGAGAACGGGAGTCACCCTCAGAACTCAGCAGCAGTCTGTCTAGCTGGGAAGCCGGGCGCTCGTGGGGGGAAGCAAGTCAGCGGCTCCTCTGGGGCTCTGCCCAGGCAGGAAGTACAGGTGACCAGTCTGCAGTCCGCCCAGGCCGCAGCAATGCCACCATCTCAGGGTCACCGTCCCTTAAATATTAGGCGGGTTTTCCCATCTCCAATGATGAACCTAAAAAAAAATAATTATAATAATAATAATAAAAAGACGGCCCCGTGAGGCCCTCAAGCCCCTGGAGGGGAGACCCAGCCCTTCCTCAAGTGTCTCCAGGCCCAGAATTCTCCAGAGAGGTGCTCTCCTGAGCCTTTCCAGCCTCAGTAGCCAAATCCCCGTGGGGAAAGGGAGAAATTCTTCTATGTTTGCTTCCCAGTAACCTTTCCCTGAAGATGCTCGCCTCAGCCATTTCGAAAGCGATAGTGATGGTCTTCATCACCAGCCCATCGGCTAAGCCGGACGGCAGGTGGATGATGACAGCAAACACAAGCGACCAGCCCAGCCCAGCCCAGTGACTGTGCCCTCCCAGGCCGCGGGAGGTAGGTTCAATGTGTACCAAATCCAGACCCTAATCCCTGCGGGCCCTAGAGCAGAAAAAATAAAAACCAAACCAAACCCAGGCCCCTGCCGACCTTCAAAGCTCACAAAAGGAGAGCTCAGGAGAAGCAGTGAAGTGGATACTATCCTTGCGATGGCATTGACCTTGGTACCCACTGCACGAGGCCAGGGAGCTCTGTCCACGTTGCACTGAGTGTGAATGGCACCTCCTGGCATGCATGCTCTTGGGGGCACCATCTCCATGGTGACCCCCCCCGCCCCGAGCAGCTCCCCTACTTGTGGTCCATATGGCTGTGCGGGTGGGGCTGACCTCGCCCCAACTCCACTCATCGCCAGTAAGAGCGCCTGAGCCCCATGGCTACAGTGACGGATTCAGAGGTGGACATGACCCACGCTATGCCGGTCCAAACCGGGGAACGCCAGACCCCGGCCTTTTGCTAGAGCTGTTGTTGTTATTCCTTCTGGGGCTGTCCAGCTGCTCAGATAGAAGCCTGGCCCTTCCGCTGAGTATCTGAGCCTCTACTGGAGAGCCTCTCGGAGCTCTGCCCAGAGGACAGCAGAGCCCCCGAGAAAGCCTGAGTCCCACAGACATTGTTGGAGCACCACCTGGAGCCCGTGTCACCTGTGAGCCTCTCGTTTGCCTGAGCGACTGAATTTCCCCTTGTGACATAAACTCCATTGAGATGGATTTCTGTCACTTGGAAACAAAGGCCCTAGAGGCATAATCTTGGCCTCTGAAGAAGACTCCCCCTTCCCTTCTTCAAACCCAAGTGAGATGCCCACCCTCTAGCCCTTCGTGCTCTGGGAACTGTCACCAGGTGCCCACGAGAGGGGCCCATGACCCCATGTCACGCTCCTACCTGATGAGCACTCCTACAAGCAGGCTGCCCAGGAGCGGGCCCAGCCAGTAGATCCAGTGGAAGTCCCAGTGACTGGCCATGACAGCAGGTCCAAAGGCACGTGCAGGATTCATGCAGGCTCCAGACACAGCACCCCTGCAGACACCCAGCCACGCGGTCACCAGGATCCCAGCCAGGCCCCAACCCACATGAAGGTCAAGTTCATTTCCCCAACCAGACCTAGGCCACACACCACCCAGAAACCCTCTTGAAGCCACCATATCATGGGGCGGGGCTCTGGGCAGTGGGGGGGGGGGTCCCAAAGAAGACACAGGAGAAGAGGCTCTTAGCAGCAAGAACTGGAAGGCTTGTCTGTCACTCCCCACACGCCTTTCTAGAAGAACAGACAGCAGAGAGAGTCTGTTCAGTGATGACAGGAAGAGAAGATGGGTCTAGGTCCTTGCCAATGTTGAGAGAGCCGGGGCAAGCAGTCTTCCTCGACTCCATGAACCTCAGAGTCCTGCTGACCTGGATTCGAAACCCAGCCCAGCTCTTTCTAGCTGTGTGACCTTCAGCTGAGGCGAAAGTACCTGCCTCATAGGCTGTTGTCAGGAGCGAATGTGAAAACGCATTTAAGACCCCAGGACTCATAATATAATTCACGTACAAGTGTTTAATAGAGCTAAACCTTATTAGCCCCTGCTGTGACACAGGCTTGGGGCCCCGCATCTCCTACGGGGAGAGGGGGAGGGCTGTTCTCCAGGGCTACCTCTCTGGTTCTGGTGGCAGTATCCTTGCCCCATTCATGCAAGCCTGGCTGCTGACGGTCTCCCGGATCCCATGTCAAAGTCAAAAGGATGAATCGTTGGCTTGTAAATGGAGCAGCAGCCGCTAGGGGGCAGCAAAGCACTGCTGCAGCTTTACTCGCACTTTCTGCTCCCCACTTCCCCCACAAGTTCCCCAGACGCCACCTCCCAAAGGAGGCAGCGGGGTGGGCGGCAGAGCTCGGACAGCCTAGACTTGGTTCTGTGTCCAGAGAAGGAAAGGAGGTGGGGGCTCTGTCGGTGGTGTCTGACTTCGGCTCAGGTCATGATGTCACAGTTTCTCTCTCTCTCTCTCTCTCTCTCTCTCTCTCTCTCTCTCTCTCTCAAATCAACATTTAAAAGTAGGGAGTTTTCCTTGTCCCCTTTACTAGGAGATTGGGCTCTTGTCCCAGATCTGTCCTTTAATTTGCCACTGTCATGTGACCTCAAATAAGTCATTGTGTCCTCTCTGAGCTCAGTTTCCTCATATATAAGATGGGAGAAATAATCCCTGACCCAAGCTCGTCTCCTTAACCCCCTCCCTCCCACACCCCCTGAGGGGCCCACCCTAGATGAGTCAATGGGTATGAATGCTCTTTGTAAGTCTGAGGCTAAAACCTGGCTGCCCACCAGCTGAACAAACACAGCCCCCAGAAATGGTTGATTGATGCTACAAAGAAAAGGAAAATTTCCAGGTGTCTGGAAGGCTCTGTTCGTTAAGTGTCCAACTTCAGCTCAGGTCCTGATCTCCCAGCTTGTGAGTTCGAGCCCTGCATCAGGCTCTGTGCTGACAGCTCAGAGCCTGGAGCCTGCTTCAGATTCTCTGTCTCCCTCTCTCTGTGACCCTCCACTGCTCGTGCTCTGTCATTCTCTCTCTCTCTCTCTCTCAAAAATAAACATTAAAAAAACTTTTTTCAAAAAAAAGGAAATTTCACACGAGAAGCTAGTTTTCCGACTTCCTTGGAATGAAGTTAGAAGGGTCATTTGAGGCCCACAGTCCACCACGGCAGTAACTTACTAGAGGGGAATAATGGCGCTTCCTTGGGGACCCCAACCCCAAAGGCTGGCCCAGGACCGCTCACCCTGCCAGGATGTCCACGGTGACGGCAAAGCCAATGGAGAATGGAGCCAGAGGGCCCTGCGTCTTCTCGTTGATGGCGCCCATGCAGACAGCCAGTGACAGCAGGGCCGTCAGGACAAGCTCGGCCACCACCGCGCCCCTGACCTGCCCCGGCTCCTGGACCGTCACAAAGGCCGCCCCAGACGCATTCCAGAACCTCTCTTCAGGACTCACTGCCTGTGGAGAGAACACAAGCCCTTCGGCCTCACAGTGCGGGCAGGGGAGAGGGATGGCGGGGAGCTGAGGGCAAGCGCGTGCCCCCAACCGCAGGGGCCAGTGACAGGCTCTGTCCAATCCCCAGTCAGCCGTGTCCCAGCTCCAGTTCCTACTATGTGGCTTGGTGAGAGCCACTGGACTCTTCAGAGCCGCCACTGGCCCATCTGTCACACGGGGTCACCCAGCGGTGGATACAGGTGCTGGGGGCCTAAAGCTCACGTGACTAGATGATCCTCTTTGAAAAAAAGAACACAAAAATACCTCGCTCAGCAGACTTTGCACCCACCACCAGCCCCCTTTAGGGCCCCTTTGAAGGGGGGAGGGAGCCCCGAAGCTTCCCAGGAAATCAGCCTCGGGGTCATCACGGAGCCTGGAAAGGGAAGAGAGCAGAGCAAGCTTCTGGACTCTGGACGTGAACCTGGACTCTGCCTCTTACCGGCTCAGCTGAACCTGGGCCAGCAACTGACATCCTTGTACCTGCGTTTCCTCCTCCTTAAAGTGGAGGTGACGATAATCTGCACTCTGAGCTCAGACCCTCTCAGAACCAACTGTGGCTTCTTGTGACGCAGCCCGACTTCCCTAGAGAAGCTGTGTAAATTGCTTCGCAGGGAGGGTGTCAGTGACCAGAGCCTCCACCCTGCACTGCTCACTATTGTTCGGCAGGTGGGCGAGTGGCCCGGCTGGAGGGAGAGCCTGGATCAGAGCGGGAAGGTCCAGCCCCCAGTCTGCAGACAGGGGAGTGGGGTCTCAAAGGGGAACCCGGGGAAACCAAGGCAGGGAAGACAGCAAGATGGGACTCCGGACCAAAGTTTGCAATGGGCCAGTGCTTGGAGCTCCAGACCAAACCCCAGCCAGGCTAACAGGCGCCCCCCGGTCCCCCCAACCCGACCCCATGCCCCCCAACACACGTGCCCACAAGCCCTACATCTTACAGGGCCCCTGGCTGGACTCACTTATCAGCAACAGGAAGGACAGAAAAAGAGAGAAGGGAAGGAGGGAGGGAGAGAGCAAAAGACAGAGGGAGTCCATCTGTGGAGTGATGTCTCTAAAACTTGACTGGTGGGGAGGAGGAGCTAGCTGTCCTGTGGGGAGGAGAAGATTCCAGACATAAACTGAATGTTAACTCAGTCTACTCAGGGTAGAGAGACTCAGTTTAAAGGCAGGCAAACTGGAGAACACGCAGAGAAGTTGGTTCAAGGAGACTTACCATAGTCTTCCCATACCCTCAGTTTGTAGCATGAATGAACAAGTGAGTGAATGAATAAATGAACGAGTGAATGAACGAAAGGCAAAACACTAGTAGAAACATTATCCAAAGCCAGAAATGGTCTCAGGGAGAGAAACTTCAAGTCCCACATTCTGCTTCCTAGTCTGTCCAGGGAAGAGCTATGTCTACACACAGAACAGGGCGTGTCTAAGACAACCAAAGGCCCCTTCCCAGGAGAAAAGGACCCGCCCAATCCCAATGGAGGAAAACTCCAGAGGAAAAAAAAGCCGGGCGCCTTCAGCTCCCCACTCCCCTCCCACACTCCAGCAGCCCAGCCCCCCTGGGGATCACCCACCTTGGCCAAGGCAGCCCCGATCAGCCCCCCGCACAGCTGTGAGATCCAGTAGGGAAGGAGCATCACCAGGTTGAGGCCTCCGATCAGCATGGCCGCCAGGGACACCGCAGGGTTGAAGTGCCCACCACTGTCACCCGCAAAAGCAGAAGGAAGTCTTGAGACCGAGGGAAGGTGTCCCAGGAGGCCCCCCAGGACGGCCCGGCAGCTCTCTGCAGAGTGAGCCAAGGGCCTCGCCCAAGGAGAACACAGGCACCAGATCCTGCCCCTTCTCCCTGGGGTGGGATGTGGGGGAGGGCCGGGGAGGAGAGGGCAGCCCCGTAGGAACGGGGTTCCCTACACCCAGTGCCCACGGTGGGCGACCATCCCTTAACTCCTTCCTGACTCACTCAGAGCTCCAGCCCTCCAGAGATGTGGCCATCAGCCAGAATGAGACCCCAGACCCCAATATAGGAGGCAGAGAGAGGTATCCTGGCCTCCCCTTATGAGTCCGGGCCCTGAAGAGGTCCCCAGGCTGAAGGAAAACCCCCTTCTAACGGCAACAACACCGCAGCAACTGAGCGCCTGGTGCCATCTGGTTCCCATGAAGCCCTCAGCGCGGGGGCTCTGCTACCTACTAACCACGAAGCCTCGGACAAGTCACGTGGCCTTCCTCAGTCACACCAGGAAAGTGGGGATAATGATAGCAACTACCCTCAAGGGGTGGTTGAGAGCATTCAATGAGCTCATATTTAGAAAGTGCTTAGAGGAGCGTCTGGGTGGCTCAGTCATTAAACATCAAACTTCAGCGCAGGTCATGATCTCATGGTTCGTGGGGTTGAGCCCGGCATCAGGCTCCGCGCTGACAATGCAGAGCCTGCTTTGGATCCTCTGTCCTCCCTCTCTCTCTGCCTCTCCCCTGCTCGGCTTCTCTCTCCAAAATAAATAAACACATAAAATATAGAGAGAGAGAGACAGAGAGTGAGAGGTGAAAGAAAGAAAAAAAAGAAAGAAGGAAGGAAGGAAGGAAGGAAGGAAGGAAGGAAGGAAGG